TTATTATTATTATTATTATTATTATTATTATTTCACGCCCTAACATCCAAACCTTCTATCTTAGAATTAATTAAGGTTTTTAGTTGAGATGACAAAATGTTAATGGCATGAGCGGGATTCGAACCCACGATCTTCGCCTAGATACGCCTCTATTCTACCACTTGAGCTATCGTGACCTCGATCCACTCGGACATCAACTCTCCATCTCAACCTTCAACCGGTCGAATTTTCCCTTTTTTTCGCCATTTTCAATCGCAACCAAGACCTTATATAAAAATAATAATTAATTGAAAGAAATAACTAGGTCAATTGACCACTAAAACATAAATGGATTATTATTATTATTAGCATATTATGATTAACAATTACTTACTTGTGTTTTCGAAAATGAAGGTTGGCAATTAAAAAAATCATTGCCACGCCGATGCCAATCATGGAAAAGGTGGCTATGGAAAAGAAGGCGACCGGCTGGACGGTGACGGTCCTAAGCTTGAATACCCTTTTTGAAATTGGAACTTGATCCCCTGGCCAAACAACGGGCTTGCAACCTGAACAGGGCATAGTCAGCTCTTTCTCGAATCCGTCGAATAAACCCACCATGACGCTGTCTCCACCTGAAAAAAGCAAACAATAGCGATAAAGACAAAATTATTTTTAGAAAGAATTCTTAAATCGATAAAGTATAGAATTGAGAATGAGTACAGAACAAATAAGAGAGAAATCAAAAAGTATTTAAAGTATATGGAAGTATCGAAAGTAAGACATTATGTAATGGAGAGAACGATATCTGAAAAACGTTAGGAAAGAACAATAATAGTACAGATTATCTATAAATGAATTAATTTGACCCATTCAAGGGTGAATGAATATACTGATTAAATTGGCTAGCTAAAATCAATTTATACAGATGAAAAATTTGATTTTATTTATGGTAGAAAGCTTGTGTAATTTGTTGAAGAAAGTCAAGTCAAACTTCGTCCAATGGTCACTTCTAATAACCGAACATCCTTTATATCCAAACATTTTTTTTCTCCCGGAATTATTCCATTTAGTTTATTAAGGAAAGCACTTTTAATAAATGGACACGGACACTCCGTTTAAGCTTCTTACAAGCAGAATTGTTACTTTCATCTAGAGGTAGAAATTCTTACATTCCACATATTCCTCTCGACCGCTTTGGTCTTTCCCGGTCACTTTTCAGTCCAGTCCGTTCTCAGATTACGATATTAAAAAAACCGTTTGATGAGTGAGAATAAAATCTTTCTGCCAGAGAAAAGGTCGTCATACAAGTCCCTACTTATCAATATTAATATATTTTTATATCTAATAAACTAATTTTGGCGAGATTTTGTTCTACACCTGGTATAATTGAATTATTAGAAGAAGGTCTTATATTTATAATATTGAAACTACTAGAAAATATAATTTAAAGAGAGAGAGAGAGAGAGAGAGAGAGAGAGAGAGAGAGAGAGAGAGAGAGACATAGAGAGAGAAATTGAGATAATGGGGGAGATAGTGCAAATAATAGAATTTGATAGAATGTTAGAAAAAAAGAGAGACAGACAGAGAAAGGAGGAAGAAGGAGAGCAATATACATAGAATACAGATTCATATATAGAGAGAAAATGGATTGAAAGAGTGAGAGAGTATTATAGATTGAATATAGTGATAGAAAGATTGTGAGCGTGAAATATATAGAATAGATTGATGGAATGAGAGAGAGAGAGAGAGAGAGAGAGAGAGAGAGAGAGAGAGAGAGAGAGAGAGAGAGTATTGAGAAAGAAAGAAAACGAGAGAGTGACATTGATTAATTGAACCCTTCATCTGTTGGCTACGTCTCGTCTACTTAATAGAGAGAGATGGAAAGAGGAGAGAGAGTGAGAGAGTGAGAGAGAGAGTAATAAAAAGAGATAGTCACCGAACTAAAGGGACCCACATAAAAAAGAGAAAGTATAAGAAAAGACAAGACGACTTATCAGGAGAGGAAAGAGAAAAGAGAGAGAGAGATAGAGAGATAGAGATAGAGAGATAGAGAGAGAGAGAGAGAGAGAGAGAGAGAGAGAGAGAGAGAGAGAGAGAGAGAGAGAGAGAGAGAGAGAGAGAACAAATATTTGAGAATCGAGAAACCTAAAATATATTAAATTACTAACAATAACATCGTTGTTGTTATCGTATATTGTTTTCCTTTTTTATAATTCCTCTTATTTTCCATTGCAAATAAATTTTACTGCGTTGTTTGCTTCTAGGCTAATTTCAAAAAGTGTAGTCACGGAAGAAGAATCCATTGATTTTCTAAGTGAATAGCTTGCTAAATTGGAATAAAATTATCTGGAAAGATTTAAGTTAAATGTATTGTTTCTTAAGTAGATTGTAATAAAACACTTTATGAAGAACTAAATAAGTAGTTTCACTACCATATTTTTGTTATTGTTTTTTAACTTTTTATTTGTTTTTCACAACTGCATTCTTCAACGCAACAAGTAAAACAGATAATATTTACATATAAACATATTAACGGTAGCATGAAAGCTTGAACCCTCCAGTGATGGTAGCCGTTAGTAAGTACATCAATACCATGAGCGAGATGGATTCCTTCCTAGGAGACCGATGTCAACTGTTAAGTATGTCGCGGGGCCACCGAAGCTTCAGTCTTCTGTTTGGATTATTAGGTAATGAGGTCGATGACAGGTTTTTGACAAAAGGGGGTATGATGGCATAATTTGGAAAGGAATGTTTTGTAGCGGGAATGGGCTAGCTTGGCAACAAGAGCGACACTTAGGTCGGTATGAATGGTGTGATTAGATACATAGAAAGAGGCGTTGAATATTGTTCTGAGGATTTGGATTCGATTGAGGTTGGAACGCTTGGCAATCCCGTTAAGTTCAAGTCCGTATGTCCAAATGGGGGCCAGGAGGGCAATGTAAAGTTTTCTTTTGTTTGTTAGTGAAAGTTTTGATCGACTGTCGAGCAGTCGTTTAAGCATGAAAAATCGTATGTTACAGTCTGTGCGCTTAAGTCGTGTATGGGGGTTCGACATCGGTCGTTTGTCCAGGTAAAGTCCGAGGTATCGTACTTGGTTCGCAATTGGGATGGGAACGCTGTTGAAGTAAGGTGGAAGCATTTTCTTGTTTAGCGTGAATATTATTTTTGTTGATTTAGAGATCTTGATTCTCTAATGGAGGATTCCATTCTAGGATGTTTAGATGATTTTGAAGAACGGGAAGCTGTTAAAGGATCTTTGTCAGGAGAAAGGTTTGCGGTACCATTGGCAAAAGTGAAGGTGATAGTGTTAGGTTGCGTAGGTAGGTCGGAGGTATAAATTGAATAAAGAAAAGGAGCGAGCACTCTGCCCTGTGGGACACCAGCTAGAATAGGATGGATACGAGACAATGAATTTTTGTGGGATACTTGTAGGGGGTAGGATGTTCTTGAGCTTCCACAGCAGCCCAGAGTGCCATACTTGGTCAAAGGCCTGGTATATACCCATGAACACACCCGGGCAATACTGTTTTAGCTTAAGGGATGTGGAAATAACGTCGATTATGCGATGTGCTTGTTGTACAGTTGAGTGGCAACTCTGAAAGCCGAATTGCTGATGGGGAATTGTGTTTGTAGGAATTTCCTTGGTCAAGTGGATCAAAAGAAGCTGATGGGTCGGTAGGCGCTAGGAAAGTGACTTGGTTTCTTAGGTTTTGGGAGCATCTTGATGAAAGAAAATTTCCAACAGGTGGGGAAATGGGTTGTTCGTAGGACAGCGTTGAATAGGTAGGTTGTAAAGATACTGGCTTTTTTAGGTAGTTGGGATAGGACGATGGGAGTGATTAGGTCGTAACCTGGGCATTTCTTTTTGGAAAGGTTTAGGATGGCCTGCTTGACTTCATTAGGAGAGAAACTTTTGGAGGGAGGGAGAGAGGTAATAGTTTGTCAAGTTCATTAAGGATTTTTTCAGAATGGTGGAGGTCTTGGATGTCTGGATCTGGATTGAATACTGAAGAGAGGTGTTGGGTTAGGAGTTGGGCATTGTCCTCTTCGGATTTTGCCCAAGTTCAATCTGCCCGTTGGAGAGGAAGAGAGGTGTTTTTATATTTGAGGATTTTTCTTGTAGCAGTCCATCGTGAATTGTCGTAGTGATTGGATATTACCATATTATGAGGGCTATTTTTAACACGTCTTAAGAATTAATTGATTCTAATTTTTTCCATTATCGATAATTATAATAACATGTTTTTAATCAAAATTAATGTTGTAGATTACGAATTGAGATGGCGTGCCAGTTGTTTGTCGTCAGTCGGGTCTTCATTCTCAAGGTTCACCTTTTCTCGCTCTGTGTATTAATCAACTGAACTTAAGCTGCAATGAAGGGAATTTTAATTTATAATTATTTCGGCTTTCCCTGTTCGGATCATGTAAGCAATCGTTATTGATAAATAAATAATCTCTTGCGATTTCAAAGTGTTAAACTTTAATTCGTAAACGTTTATGACTGATGGGCGAAATGCGTTTGAAATAGGTCATTAAGGAATTTAATTTATTGGATTCACCAGGCGAAAAGTCGGGCTAGGGTAACGAAGTTATAAAATCTCTGTCGTTGAGAGAGGAAATTCGATAAAGCGGCAGCGGCCCCCTGGAGACTGGTGATCGTTCGCTCGAAAAAAAACCGTGTGTGTTTTCACTTGAAATACTCTCCAGCCTTGACGATTCAATATGCTTATTGACGGGTAAAGAAGAGAAAACTATTGTTCTTTTGATCAAAAGAAAAACATTTCCGAACTTATAAATCTATCGGTTTTAAGAGGTTTATACATATATTCGAACATTCGTTTTAGAAAAACCTCGTCGGCAAATGGTATCCATGGTTACATAATTAAATGTTTTTCGTCGTTTATCCATTGGTAAACCGGGTGTTGTACAGCTTCAAGTCAAGTGCTTTTAACCGGTGAAACTTTTTTTTAAAATTACGTTTCCACTTCAAAACAATTTATTGCTATTTCTAAAAAACCTTTTTTTATTAAATTTATTATAGTAATTTTTTAATTACTATAATTTTTTACTTTTAAAAATGATTAATTTTGTGTTTGGTTAACTAGGCTTTTTCTTATTGCTTTCCATCGTTTTTCTTATTCGCTTCTCTCCTCCAATCATCAAACTTTCTACCCCTATCAATACATTTCTATTACGTCTGTTGATTAATGCCCTTTCTGACTGTTTCTCTTACACACTCTCACTCTGTTTATCTCACTTTTTCTTTCTAACTCTCTCCTACCTCACTCTTGTTCTTTCTCTCTCTCACACAATCTCTCTCTTTCCTCTCTTTTTTTCTTCCCTTTCTGTCTTTACTTCATGACTGGTTGGACATGAAATACTGTTGTACGTTATCTAGTGAAATGTATCATAGTATTTATAATTGTCTTCGCTAAGATAAATTTGTCTGGTTGTCTCTCACTCACTCTTTTTTTTCTCTCTGTTTTTCTCTCTCTTAATTAGTAACGTCTACATGATCTAGCTAACAGATGAAGGGGGTTCAAATGATTAATGTCACTCCCTCGTTTTCTTTCTCCACACTCTCTCACTCTCTCTTTCATTCTATTCAATCTATACTACTCTCTCACTCTTTCTCCCCATTCTATCTCTTTCTCATTCTCTCACTCTTTCACTGTATTCTATCTATATTGCTATCATTCTCCCTCTCACTGTTTCTTTCTTTCTTTCTGACCCTCTATCAAACTATATTATTTGCACTTTCTCCCTCATTTCTCAATTTCTCTTTCTCCCTTCTTCCTTCTCGCTCGCTTGCTCGCTCTTCCTTGAAAATCGTATTTCCTCTCGACCTAGCTAACAGATGAAGAGGGGTTCAATTAATCAATGTCACTCACTCGTTTTCTTTCTCAACACACACTCTCTCTCTCTCACTCTTTCATCTATTGTACATATATCACTCTCCCTTTCATTATATTCAATCTATATTATTCTCTCACTCTTTCTCCGCATTCTATTTCTCTCTCACTCTCTCACTGTATTCTATCTCCCTCCCTCTCGCTGTTTCTCTCTTTCTTTCTGACCCTCTATCAAACTCTATTATTTGAACTTTCTCCCTCGTTTCTCAATTTCTTTCTCTCCCTTTTTCCTTCTCGCTTGCTTGCTCGCTCTCCTTTGAAAATCATATTTCCTCTCCCTTTCTTTCTCCTCTCTCTCGCACTCCCTCTCTCCCTCCCTCCCTTTCTGACTTTCTCTTTTTTATTCCCACATATACACACAGATTTTCAATCGATTTTTTCTAAACGCAAAACTAAAAGATATAAAAATATATTAAACTTGGGATATAACAGTTTTAAGCACTCATGCGTATTTATTTTATTTTGAAATTCACATAAAGATTCATTTTTGAAGTTAAATCAAATAGAAAAAGTATTGTTATTATGCAATGGCTAGTAGTGGAAATATATTAGTTAGAAGTATTGCAAAGACCAGGTGGAATAATTGTTGGAAAGACAATAATTAATAGGAGAGAAATTTTCTTGGTCCCAAACGTTTTATTTATTTGTATAGTTGGTCAAACCGTACAATCATAGTATTTTTTACTATTAACAATATTAATATATCTTTTAAAGTTAATTAAAAATATTTTTAATCCATGTTTTTGTTTGGGTAGTATGGATGAAATAAGTTTTTTTTTACTGTTTACAGATTTTATATTATGTAATGGAAGTTTTTCTTGACTTTATTAGTTGAGAATTTCGGAATAGTTGAGAGGTAGTTAAATGCCGTGGATTCCAAGGGAAACCAATTATTACCTCGACGTTTTGATGAACGAAGTACGTACGCCTCTTGGCTTTGTCCCGGGATTAGTTGTACAATAAACTTAACTTAAATGGACTTATCAATAAAATTAATCCCACTTCTTGTTATTTTTAAATAGATGAAAATTACGGAAATCTCAATTTATTAATTAACAAACTAATTCAATTATTCAATTCATAAATGAAGTCGTTAATACTGATTAAAACAAACTTCAGTACACAACTATCTTTTGGCAATGGTTTAGATTATTTACAACATTAAAAAGATTTGGTAGAATGCATTACAGAGATCTTTTAAAACCCCAATCATAAAACTGAGTTTTTAGCTTTTCAAACATAATTTTAAAAAGCTATTAGTTAATTTTTTTTAAGTTCAGAGACCATTCTGTTAGAACAGATTGGAAATGAAATTAGTAAAAATGTTCGACAGGGGTGTCTCTTTTTTTAAATTTTGGTCAAATTCTTTTAAAAAATTGAATTTCTAAAAAAATGTTGGTTTATTGATACAGTCGACAGTGCTGTGTCAGAAAAAATATTTACTGACCTAACGTTACCTTCGAGCCACGAGTACTAACGATCAATAAACCCTTTTAAGAGTCTCATAACTTTAGGAATGAGAGAAAAGGGAGAAACGGAGAAACGGAGAGAGATAAATAGATAGGGAGATATAGATACATGATAAGAAAGAAATATAGAGAAATTACGTGAATTGGCAAAATATGGTATTCACAGTTTCACAACTATGAGCGCTCACAAACAGAAACATGAAATATAAATAAAAACTGGAATAATGATAATAAATATCAATTTTGTCAATAAAAATCCTTACCTTGAATTTGATACAAAGCCGTAAAACCTATTCGGTCGGGCCCATTAAAACGAACAGGTCCCTGAAAAAATAAACAATTTAAGTATTGCACCCGTAACAACCTTGGTGATTAGTTAATAATACAAGAAAAATGAGGTTCGTTTTTCGTAAATAATTCAAGTTCAATTAACAGTTAAGAATTGTTCATGCTTCTTTTAAGGTATATAGGTTAGACAGTGAAAATATAGTTTTAATGCTAATGATATCATGTAAAAAATGAAATTTTCTTTATTCTTGTAAAAATTAAAAAATCAATAAATTTGCAGAAGGAGAATATGACTGTTTTAGACCTCTTGTATTTAATATTGTAAGAAGGATTTTCATCTGACGCCCTTTTGGGTTTGCTTTGGCCACCAGATCAAACAAGATTCTACCCAGGGAAGATTTAACATGGAATTCTGTTCGCGTTTCTCCCCGATTACACACAGGATAATCCCACGACTCAGTTGTCTGAATTATATTTGATATGCAATGAAATCCCAGGCTCTAAAATTGTTGGGGATCCGACTAAAAGAATTACGATGTATATAATCTCGATTGGAACATTGATAAATAAACTTTTGATCTAATAAAAATATATATATAAAATAAAAGCCGTGTAACACGGCCGATTGTTTTCAGATTGCTAACTTCACTGTAAGCCCTTCAAAACGAACTTTGCGCCGAATGTGTAGCTTACGTAGAAACTGCTGGTTGTAAAAAAACAAACAATTGAGTCTATATAAAAGGGCTTCGATCCCGTGTAAAAACCGGTACGTAATAAAAAATTTCAATGTTGAATTATAATGATAAACTGAAAATTTATCCATTCTTACACATTATTTAATAAAATTCTCCTAAAATATTGTTATAAACAAAAATAGTATGACCGTATAACGCGAATTTCTTATTTATATATAATTCATTAGAGTTCGTGGTCCGATTGACTAAATAACTTTTTTCAATTAATTAATCGTTATGTAAGGTATTAGTTGTGATAAGAAAGTCAATGTCACGAGCGGGATTCGAACCCACGACCCTCGGCTAATACGCCTCTGTTCTACCACTTGAGCTATCGTGACTTCGATCCACTCGGATACTAACTTCCCATCTCAACCTTCCTTTCGAATTTTCCCTCCTTTTTGCCATTATTCAAATGACGTGTAATCCATTCGATTCTCGGCAACAAATGAAATAGCCACGGAGAGCTTAAAATTGTAATTAAACATAGAACGACTTACTGTGATAATAACAATAGGCCATGGAGGTTGACACATAGACACTTACTTTTAGTCCAAAGCCCGCGAATGTGTCCGGCAAATAGTGAAAAGTTGCTAGCTGTTTCCTATTTAATTGAACGATTTCAATGCTGGCTCCATATAGAAAACGAGCAGCAATGCCACCCGATACGATAATTGTTTTAACCTGCCAGTATTTTAGGCCCCTGTTCCGATTTTCGGATAAATATCACAGTATTTTATTTTATTAGGTTTCGTGGTCCGCTTGACCAAATAAATTATTCTCAATTAATTAAGGTTTTGGTTGAGACAAAAAAGTCAGTGTCACAAGTGGGATTGAAGCCACGATCTTCGGCTAAATACGCTCTACCACTTGAGCTATCGTGACTTCGATCCACTCGGACACTAACTTCCCATCTCAACCCTACATTTTGAGTTTCCCTCCTTTTTTGCCATTTTTCAAATGTTGTGTAATCTATTGGATTCTCGGCGACAAATGAAATAGCCACGGAGAGTTTTAGTGAAGTATACTTCATTTTGTTTACCACATTTTATTAGGTTTCGTGGTCCGCTTGACTAAATAAATTCTGTTCAATTAATTAAGGCTTTGGTTGAGACAAAAAAGTCAGTGTCACAAGCGGGATTCGAACCCACGATCTTCGGCTAAATACGTCGCTGCTCTACCACCTGAGCTATCATGACTTCGATCTACTTGGACACTAACTTCCCATCTCAACCGCACCTTTTGAATTTTCCCTCCGTTTTGCCATTTTATCATAGTATTGATAAACATTTTGATTTGTGTATGTTGAGTGTAAGTTTATTTATTAGCATTAATGCTTGGTGCATGAGGGCGAATGGCGGTATATTGAGTACCTCGTCGACTCTTAAGTTGTTTACTTGTATAAATTGAAGGGTAAAAGAGGAATATCGAATACTCCTCCAATCGTCAGTATGGTATGCAAGTAGGAAAAAATATAGCGAGTTTAGATTTAATAACTGAATGCGATGGGAGCTATAATGGCCTAGCTGTTGATAGCCCCCTTGATTCTAACCTCGGTTTCTGGACAGATAATACCAACGTCTACCAAAGCCTGATGTTGGTCCATATACCACATTACGGTTTTTGTAATGTATTTATGTTATCGGCGATGGTTATTCTGAGTGCGTGTAATAATGCATTTAATATATAAATTTAGTGTAGTAAGAATGATGTAAAATGATAATTAGTTTTTCTAATATGATTTAAAGAAGTAATTAGCCCATAGTAGTAAACAGAACAATTTGATAAATAAAATTAAAGTTGAGATTGATGAAGAGATGAGATACTTAGGCCAGTTAATAACATCAATTTGCCATACAATAAACATAATTTTCCTGTATTTGTGCTAATTCCTGATTTAGCTCAGTAAGAGGAAGTGATGATTGATGCTGTCGAAGATAGAAGAATGCCAAATTTAATCAGGGTTGAAGCAACTAACATCATCAGAAACTCTCTTTCCTTTTTGTAAAATAATCAAGACATGAAAATGGCTGGTGTAATTAAAAAAAAACAAGCCGTTTTTTAATATACACCGTGTTCTGTGAAACCTGAAAAGATTTAAAGATATTTTTACAAGATCCCAAGCTTATTTTAAAAAGGAATTACAATAAATTGTCGATAAACTTGTGAAAAGTGGTTACATCGATAAGAGAATTGAATCCACAACTCTGTTTCCTCTGAAATGTATGGTCTGCCTAAAGTACATAGAGAAGTTTTACCTCTAAGACCCATAGTCGGTGGAATTCAATCACCGTTCTACAACCCGTCGGAATGGGTTAAGCCCCGTTAAGAAAGTAAACCTCCGGCTGAGGACAATTGCAATGTCAAGAATTCATTTGAGTTTATAGAAAAGATAAAGTTCCTTTGGTTTCCTTCAATGCTAAATCCTTATTTGTTCGTTTCAGTTTTACAGTCCTTGGCAATGTTGGAACTGATTCGGTCTTGAAACAAATTTTAAACCATCTAATTAATTAGACATCTTTAAGATTGTTTCGCCCTGATGATGATATCAAAATAGGTCGAATGCTTAACAGGTAACGATAGAATTTGTTTTATCATACGGAAGTATAGATCACTCGCGAGTAAAAAGTGAGCGATATATCTAACACTTTAAATAGAATAATAAACTCAATTTTTCATTTATACATGTGCAGAGTTGACGTAAATCAACCAATAAAATCAATCTATTGTAGTAGTAAAATAATATTTTATACGCTACAAAAATGTAAAATAGAAATTTTAGGAAATTCTTTTATTTAATAAAATAGAATAACAATTTCTGACGGTTAATTAAGGTTTTTAGTTGAGATGAAAAAAAGCCAATGGCACGAGAGGGATTCGAACGCACGACCTTTGGCTAGATACGCCGCTGCTATACCACCTGAGCTATCGTGACCTCGATCCACTCGGACATCAACTCCCCATCCCAACTCCACCTTACGAGTTTTCCCTCCTTTTGCCATTTTTCAATTTTGATGTCCGAGAGGATCGAGGTCACGATAGCTCAGGTGGTTGAGCAGCGGCGTATCTAGCCTAAGGTTGTGGGTTCGAATCCCTCTCGTGCCATTGGCTTTTTTTCATCTCAACTAAAAACCATAATTAATTGTCATGTATTAATTGGTCAAGCGGACCACGAAAGTAGTGAATTAATAACAATTTCTGTTCATAGATATTATTTATTGCCAATGTACTTGAAGATACATGTCCTGACGTATAAAAACAACAGATATTTGATCATATATTTTTTTGTTATTGAAACTACTGTTAACAGTTGATATGTTATATATAATTTTAATTTTTTTTTTATTGTCTTTGAAAAAATTGTATGTTGTAGACAAATACTGGTTTGCCATTCGGCGTGAATATATTTGGTCATGGACGAATGTAAATCAATTAAAAGTCCAATTAGAAACAACTCTGGCCGTTAATAACTTTTTTAATAACACTTGGAATCTTTTATAATTCAACGGCCCCTGCGAAAATTCCAGGTATTTTTGTGAATTGTTTTTTTAGTTTGGTGCTAAATAGCGGACAAAAACGATAGCCATATCAATAAAATCTCCAATATTTTTCACATACTATCATAGTACTATATTTCTTGCGTGATAATTATGGCGTGTTAAAAAAAAAACTTGAAGGAATATTACTTTTTCAAAATAAAAAATGTTAGAATAATGTAGGTATTTTTGGTGTCAATGTGAAAATGATGATGTAAAGAAAAACTATTTACCGAAATTCCGTTAAATGTCGTCTTGCTCATTTCTTTCGACAGTTGTCTGGACATGTCGCGTCTGTTGTAGTCAAAATCCTCTATGCTCATGTATAACATGAACGATCTCAGTGTCAGCGCAATTGCCCAAACTGCGTCGTATGTCTGGCGAATGTAATCGCCTGATTTTCCCTCGAGCATCTCCTCGATATCACTTTCTAACTGAAAAAAGAAAAAATGAAGCATGTCAACTCTATAGAAAACATTGATCATTTGAACGGTATACACGTCAGCTTCGATTTTGCTTAAAACCTTCGGCGCCTTATTATGTAATGACATGCGAAGTTCACTCAATTCAAATAATTATATAATTTAAATTTGTAATTTAATGGCATTTTCCAGCTTGGTGGAAGCTCTGCACACAGTTATTTGCATGTGAGATGTTATTTGAATTATTATTTGAATTATAACTTCTAGGATAGGTGGATAGGACCTCATGACCCGATCTGTTGGCCTCCTCGATCACCCGATTCGTCTCCACTTGATCATTTTCTGTGGAGCCATTTAAAAAACATCTTCGCCAATCATAGCCCAGCAAACTCAATTGAAGAACATCGGCTAAGGATATAAAAAGCTTGTATATCCACCTCTCCTAAATCTATTGTTTGCTCACTGATGAAGAGAGGTTAAAAACAGCAAATCTTTGCATATTTACGCAAGACAGGCAATTCGAACAAGAAATGTGATTAACAAATAGCGAACCAAATGACTGTTGTTGTTTTTATTTTCAAACTTTTTGCACTACCGTTGCCATTTGTTGAACCATTTCAAGTCCGATTGTCCATCGTTTTTAGAGTTAAAAATCCTTTGCAATGATCTGTCAGGATGTATAGGGTACTATTGAACTAGGCCTGAGGTACCCTGTATAATTTTTCTCCAATGAAAGGTAAAAAATTTAAACTAGACTAAAAAATACGTTTAATATTTTAGTCTATATTATATATATNAGTTAAAAATCCTTTGCAATGATCTGTCAGGATGTATAGGGTAGTATTGAACTGGGCCTCAGGTGCCCTGTACAATTTTTCTCCAATGAAATGTAAAAAAATTGAAAACTAGTCTAAAAATTTATTTATACACATTAAAAGCTATAGTTATTCATATATCGTGAGATGCGGTCGGGTGCGATGTAGGTTTCAGAAAAACATTTTCTTTATCGTGCTAACGTTTCGATCTTTTATTGAGATCATCTTCAGGGCTCAAAGTGTTTGTCTTCTGTGTAATTGTGCCATCCTTGCGTGTCGTGTTGAGAGTGTGGGCACTACATCACACCCGACCGCATCTCACGATATCTGAATAATTATCGATTAACGGTCACTAATCTCTACACATTAAAAGCTATGATGTTGTATGACGTGGACATGATAGTGTGCTGCACTGTCACATTATGCAGCAAAATTATAATTATGTAAAAAATAGAGTCATTTGCTAAATGTCTGGTGGTTTAAATGCAAAATCGGTAAAAACAATTTACAATTTAAACATCCATCTGCAAGTTTGTCACCCCTGCCAATGAAAGCACATCTGAACAAAATCTGATTTAATATCATGCAAACTTTTTTGTCTACTGACGTGTATATGATTTAAAGAACCGAAATGGAATTAGAGTTTGTACTTCTCTGTGATGTATATGCCGGTGCCGAGTATAACTACTAGGAGGGTGAAAAAAAAGTTCCCCGAAGAGTCGCATTTTCCATTTGGGAAACCTTCTGTCAACTCCTTTCTCTTAAACCGCCAGTTTCCCAAATATATTTTCAATTCCCGAATCGAAATACAACACGACGGCAATACATACACATCAAAAGAAAATGAAAAAATAAAGTAGGGAATTGCAGCCAGTGTCTGCGAGGAGTAAAATATAGAACCTATTCTTTTTTTATTTAACGGTAGGTTTGCACCATGAAAAATCATCTGTACGTCAAAAGGAAACGTAACGTGACTATATTATATGTTACAGGTCAAAAAAAGGTCCTTTTATCTCACACAAAAACTAAATAGATTTTACCTAAATATATTTTTAAATTATATATTGTATTTATTATATTGTAGCATATGCAGAAATTTGCAATAATATGCAGAAAATTGAAGGTTTTTCTTTTCAAAGCAAACTGAAAAAATGTAAATTATGACGGTAAAAAAATATTAACTTAAATAAACAGGACAGTTGAAACGGAAATGCACGTCAATGCATTTCGAACAACTAAAATTTTAAGATGTGGAGGGAATTTTTCTTTCTTCGATAACTGAAGAAGATTGTACCACTAAAATATGTGGTTTGCGGTTTCTATCATTTTGGGGAGAAATACGAGATTTGATCTAATCTGACAAGAGTACGTACTTTTTGAGAAATAAAACCCCATCAATCGATCATATTTCGGAACACTATCTGAATGTTTGTTTTATAACCCTCTCCGTGTCCCCTATCCACGTGTATGATTAACGTGGTTCAAAGCAAGTGAAACGGAAAGAAAGTCTGCTCAATCGTCGAATGATTATGATTTGATTGCATAAATTTTCTCTGAAGTTTGATTAACATTCATAAAGGACTATAAATTGTTCAGGGAGGACGAAGTGAGTGGTTTGATATTTATGAACATGTATTAGTACGTAGCCGTTATTGTATGTCTGTCTTGATAGCGATCAACCAATATCTATAGACTATTTTATCATTTTCATGAGTCTTTTGAAATTCTGAAATGGGAAGCATGCAAAATTTGGTCATTGTGAACAAGTGTCCTACATCGCAATGAATATTGGCCAATTTTCAAGTCGACCATTGAAATGGAGAAGAGGTAGCTTTGGGAAGGAGGACGCATTGAAAACATGCGATTTGGTAGTGGCACAAAGTCGCAAACTTTCTTCCATTTCTTTTTAAAAACCCGTCTTCACATGTGAATTGATCTTCCAAAACCCATAAAAGTGTTGGTCTGCGCGTCGGTAAACTCTGCTGAACTGAATAGTCATTTATGGGGTCTGTCTCCACTCGGGTTTGTTTTGAAGGAGTTCCTCACTGAAGATGACGCACCTGTGCCAGTTCAACTGCGTTACAAGAACTATCAACTGAATTCATACAACCAATAAATTTTTCTCACTAATACCCTGACATCATCAAGCAAACTAAATAAATAAGTCATTTATTTTAATTCACATTGTACTAAACCATTTTTATAAATTTAGGGAATATAATGCCGGACAAGACACTACCCATATAATAATTACGCGCACGAACAAATACGAATTATTCAACACAAATAATATCGATGTAATATATAAACACTTGTAATGAACTATATATGTAAACATGTGCAGTATGACATCCGCAAACACATTTCTCAGGTCGTATTCTCAGAAAGTTATCTGTTTACGTCATAATACCTCCTTTCATGAAGATCCTACCTTATTAGTTATATCTTTGGTAAGAATTTAAGTGATGATCAAATATCAACAAAATCATTAAATGATTAATTGAAAAATGATTTGGACAGTCAAAAAAACATGATTTACCTGAATCATTAAAAAATGGACAAAGAAAGAATTTAACTATATGCTAGTTAATTTTTGAAAGATTTGTTTGGCTTGGCAGCACGGTGAAAAATCCAGCTTAAACTAATTAATTTGTTAATTAGAGGAAAGCCAAAGTAAAAGGAGAAGATCCACCTGGCATGAAATAATATTTACTTTTATAATAAATGGTGCTTTTTTTAATGTTAACTTAATTAACGAATTTAATGAATTTTGTTGATAGTGGACAATTCAAAATCAATGAAACTTGAACAGAAGTAAATTCTGAAGTATTTAATTTTTATTCTTAAAGATAATTTAATCAATTGAAATCATCAATTAAAAAATTAAGTTAATTTGAATAATAACATTTGGAAAACGGAAACGCTTTTTTTTAAATATATTTTATTCTACAGATCCGTATAGAGTTTACATCATGTCTAGTTTTGACTTTGTGTAATTGTGTTTATACAAAATTTTACTGTTTTACAATAATTTTTCCACATCCGTGAAACAAAAAAATATTATTTTTAATTATTCCATTTCATTGCAAATTGATTCAGGTAAAAAGAAAATTATAAAATGTAATCTATTCAAAAAATGACAATTACAATGATTCATTTCTTATTTACTTATTTTTAAATCTTTTTGTCTCCGTAAGCAGTAACATTCTATTATTTTTTCTTGTATTAGTATTTCATTTGATTGAGGCGGGAGTTTAAGCTATTTTCATTCCAGGGGAAGTAATGGCATTAATTCCAGGGCGATGACATTAAGAGTATGCTCACGAACCAATCAAGTTTGAATCAAGCTTCAAACGTTGGCTCTAAGTAGAGATTAGAGGAACTGATATATGATCGGAATTTAACGATAAAATTGGACATCATTGAACTGAGTCCGAAGAAGTGGGAGGAAGAGGATTGAATGAATGGCTTGTGAATAAGTCGTTGGTCTTTGGAGGGCTTGATTAAAGCTGATGCTGGTTCCTCGAATGCGATCAGAGCTTAGGTGCTGTAGAGGTGACTAGAGGACTACTTGACAGATGCCTAGTTTGAGAGGAATCCTGAGAGGAAGCCGATGTAATTTTTTGTGTTATGCATCCTCTGTAGTTGGCTGGATGATAATCATGTCAAAAAGCGCACAACAACAGTCTCTATCGATTTGATACTATTTTTGCTCTAATGTAAGCCTCGGCATATGACACCGAGGTGCATGATTGCAATATGAAAAGGGCTTCCTAAACATTTTTTTCGTTTTCACAGAACAAAATCCAAGGTGGACCCTCTCATTCGAGTATTTAAAATTAGATGCTTATAGTTTGGAAAGTACCATGGCTTAGACCGCAATCCTTGAGATTATTTGCTACCTACACGTTCGTTAGTTCGCCTTCGATGAACGTAAATACCAACACCCAAAATCCTCGTGTAAACAAGGGCTTTAAGATTTGGCTCTGCGAACGAATTAAATTTACCACCGAGATTCATTAACGCTAAGTTTTCTCATTCCGTTAAGCGACCTAAATTGCAATTAACCCCGCTAGTTTGTTGTAGATTTAAAGAATTTCCCCTTAATTACCACCCGTTTCATAGCTAAATTTAACGCAACCACAAAAACATATTGGCGTTAATATTGTATATTAAAAATGGAAGCTCTGTTTTAATATAGAATTTTTATCAAATTTTATGAGTCTTGCAGTTCCAAGTATCTTTAACTTAATACAATTGTTGCACAGTAAACGCATGTAAATTTTATCTGCATATATCAGATGAATAATTTTTGTACAATCCTGCAAAATTCAATAGTCATTTGTTTCATTTTTGTTGTTTGATAACGAATGATCTCTTTGGCTGTCAGTCTTTTTTCTATATTTCTGTCTGTTTCTCTCTCACTTTTTCATGCTCTCTCTCTCTCTCTCATACAATCGATTTTCTCTATTCTCCCGCTTTTTTCCTTTTCTCTCTCTCTCTCTCTCTCTCTCTCTCTCTCTCTCTCTCTCTCTCTTTCTCTCTCTCTCTTACACACACACTTTCTCTCACTCAAATCTCTCTCCCTCTTTCCCTTTTTCTCTCATTCTCTCTCTCTTTCATTCACTCGATTTTTGCGCTCTTTCTCTCTCTCTCACTCTCTCTCTCTCTCTCTCTTACACACACACACACACTTTCTCTCACTCAAATCTCTCTCCCTCTTTCCCTTTTTCTCTCATTCTCTCTCTCTCTTTCATTCACTCGATTTTTGCGCTCTTTCTCTCGCTCTCTCTCTCTCTCTCTCTCTCCTCCCCTCCAATCTCACTCTCATTTTAAACACAGACTCTTCTTTATAACACAAACTCGTTCTCTCTCTTTTTTTCTTCTCAACCTCTCATTCTCTTTTTCTTTGTATCTTACTCATACACTCGATCGGAATTACGTGAAGAAAGTTTTCACTTAATCGACGGTAACCATCGAGTCAAAAAATTTCAACTTTCGCTACATACCAGCCCAGATGACGCGGTCAAATTCCCGATCAAAGAGTCAAAGCTTGCAATGAAAATAATCCCGTTGGTCGCTTTTGACAGATTATCTCCACATACGTCTGTCTTCATCCACCACCTGTCCTTAGGCCTGCCTTGGATCAGCCAAGCGTAGTCTTCTCCGTACATGCCGAGGGAGTATGCCTGCAAAAGAAAAAGAAAGAAAAAACATAAATTCGACACCAATTATCGTGAAATCATCATAAAGCTCTAGTTGAAATTATAAATCATCAACTGTCAACAGTGGGGTCCCTGAGGTTAGGATTATCGGCTGAAAACTTATTATCGAGAGTGAAAACACAATAGGTCGAGAAAACGCGGACCAAATAAATCCAACCCGGAGATAATGTAAGCTTCGATCATTTTGTGGATACTGTATAATTAAAGAGAAATTGCTAGCTCGAAGTTTGAATCTTCAGTGTTAAACAAATTTACACAATTATTTATATTTAATTATTTATTTTTAGGATGTATATATTTATACATATAACAACTATATAGCTAGAAAATAGCACTTTTTATATAAGGTACTGTACGATCCGGCCTGCGACGAGGAGTACACCATGCTAAGTACCCGTACTAGGCCATTAGGCATCAGGATGAAGGAGATACTGGCCTGCAGGAGAGCTACAATCCCTAAAGTTAAGGAAATCAAAGAATCCAAGAAGGAACCTTGGATGCTCTCCTCAATTCCTATACGGGTAGATATGGCGGAATTGAAGAAAGAAGAGACCCCCCATATGTATTCAAAGCTAAATTCCTGGCCCTCAAAGAAGAATACAGTGAAGGAACCTTCATTTATACACACGGTTCGAGGGTCAGTGAGGGGGTCGGCAGCGCAGTATGCTGGGAAAAACACACCAAAACAATTCCTCTCCCAAAGGCTGCAAGTATCTTTACCGCAGAGTTGACCGCCATATCATCCGCGCTGAGTGAAACTGAACACATTGGGAGCAACCAATATGTCATGTGCACCGACTCACTCAGTGCAGTCTTAGCCATCCGTAATATCTTCACCATGGACCCACTAATCCAGGCAACAGAAAATCAGGGAAATACACGAACAAAGAAAAGAGGTAGTTATTGCCTGGATACCGGGCCATGTCGGCATAGAAGGTAATGAAAATGCCGATCAAGCTGCCAAACGAGCAGCGATAATGCCACATGACCCGGAAACTCCCTTGAGCCCAGCGGATGTCAAAAAATATATGAAGAATCTTTGCTGGAAAGATTGGCAGAACCGCTGGGACAAAATGACCGACAAACTAAAAGAACTAAAACAGTCGGTCAAACCGTGGGCCATGGATAGTATGAGCAAAACAGAGAGAATAATATTGACCCGACTGCGAATAGGCCACACTAGACTGACGCATGGTCATCTCTTGGCGAGGAAAAGTCCACGGAGATGCCCATTGTGCGGCGCACAAATAACTGTTAAACATTTACTAACCGAATGCGAACTACTGGCGCCGCACAGAACAAAGTGTGGCCTTTCCTCGAGCTTGAAAGAGGTTTTGCAACACAGCAATGACAACAGCAAGAAAGTAATCAAATATCTGAAGCAAATAAATGCATATGGTCGCCTTTAAGGCTTCTCCACACGTGGTTTCATTTTCCCTTCCTGAAGTGAGTGTATTTATTGGCGAGAATGTGTGAGTGTATGGGTGGGTAGTGGTCGGAATATCGAGTACCCCACAGACCCACCAAACTAGGATAGATATCTCTTTGTGTGTTTTTGGTAGAAAGAATGTATTTATTGGCGCGAAAGTGAGTGTGTATGGGTGGGTTGTGCAGGAATATCGAGTACTCCACAGACCCACCGATTTAGGTTAGTATTAGGCTATAATATCTTTTAGAGTGAATGGGCGGAGGCACTGTTGTAATATTAAATGCGCCAGTGGCTCCGCATTTTTTAATTTGTAAATACAGAATGATTGGTTACTGTTTGAGTGAATGTATTTATTAGTGCGATAGTAGTGTATGCATGGGTGGGTCTATGGTGGAATATCAAGTACCCCATAAACCCACCACCTAGGTTAACGTTTTAGATTAATTGTAATTTTAATTGTACATAATGTATGGATGTATTTATTAGCGTGAACGAGGGCGGGTCTTCAGAGGAATATCGAGTACTCTGAAACCCGCCTATAGGCTAGGCTAGGATTGAATGTTAGTGAATGAGATAGTTTCAGAGCCTTTTCACCACGTGTGGGAGGGCTAAAAATGTAGAAATAACGTCCCAGAACACAACCAGAAAGATCGCCAGACTTCCTACAGAAAAGCTAATTAAAAAAAATTAAATTAAATAAATAAATAAATAAATAAATTTATAAAACGTGAGGTGGAAGAAATGTGAGGTGCCGGCAATAGCCCAGGCAGCTAGCCGGCCGAAAAAAAAACAAAAAAACTATATGCGAATATGCTTTTATCATTGCACCCAGAGAGTACTTGCTAGAGTCAACTCTATAGTAAGGATAAGGTGGCGGGTTCTAAGGATGGGAAAGTGTAGAGAGTGCTGGAGCAGTAGGGTTAGGGTGAATGGGATTGTGGTGTGGAACGTTTGGACACGAGACCGGATCAGACCGTTGACAACTAAATAAATTTTAAGTTTGTTTTGAATAATGAGAACTTTTGATTGACAGGTCTGTAAACTGTTCGCAGTAATGTCTTGTGCAGAGCTATTCATGGACCAGACATGCATAGGCATTATGTAATATACAAATCCAAAGACTGACATCGGCGATTTTATAGTAGTTATAAACATTTCATAATAATAACAACAATTATTTTTCATCCGTGTACAAATTATTTTGCATAATCTTTATCAAATGACGAAATATTGTATGATTTAAATTAACCCTTTAATTTGGACCTTGTTTGATGTAAATATGAAGATTCTAAGCTAAGAGATTTTGGGATTATGCCTATCTTGACAGAAATGTGTGGTGATTAGTGACCGTTAGTCGATGATTATTCAGAAATAGTGGGATGTGGTCTGGTATGATGTAGGTTTCAGAAAAATATTTTCTTTATCGTGCCAACGTTTCGATCTTTATTGATATCATCTTCAGGGCCTGGGATTTACAAACATTGTTTAAATTTAACAAATACATGTAGGATGTGGAAAAAAGTGAATTTATACAATGCAAAATATATTTTTATATTCAATCAAAGTATTCTTCTACTCACTCCAGGTGTTTGTCTTCTGTGTAATTGTGCCAATCTTGTGTGTCCTGTTGAGAGTGCCAGTGAGATATTGCTGTTTTATCAGAAATCGTGAGATGCGGTCTGGTGTGATGTAGGTTTCAAAAAAACATTTTCTTTATCGTACCAACGTTCCGATCTTTATTGAGATCATCTGCAGGGCCGGGGTCTTTTTCCACATCCGACCTGTAGTTGTTAAATTTAAACAACGTTTATAAATCAAACACTTTGAGTGAGTAGAAATACTTTGATTGAATATAAAAAATATATTTTGCATTGTATAAATTCACTTTTTTCCATATCCTACATGTATTTGTTAAATTTAAACAATGTTTGTAAATCCCAGACCCTGAAGATGATCTCAATAAAGATCGAAATGTTGGCACGATAATGAAATTTTTTTGTGAAACCTACGTCACACCAGACCGCATCTTACCATTTCTGAATAATCTGACAGAGTTAAAAAAACTAAATAAATCCATGCCAGTGATAATGTAAGTTACGATCTACTACTGAATATTGTCAAATTAGGCAAACATGGCGCACTATAAGAATGTTATCAGTGGTCTTGTAAAAGAAAACACTATTAAAACTTTATATCTCATCTTTTGAATGTTTAGTACTCCACTGGCACGTTGAACAATGGTTAGTTTCAGCATACAGAGAGTGTGATGGGTTGGTCAAAGACCGGGCAATATCAAAACCTCCCAGGACTCACCAATTTTTAAACTGAAAATGATGTTTGAAAGTTTACTTTCTAAGAATGTATTTATTGGCATGAATAGAAGAAGGTCGGTAAAGTGATGGACATTTTGCCCACCCCAGTAAGTTACAGGGTTTTGACCATAAATTTGTATTGTGTACGTGTGTGTTTCTAAATATAGTTCAATTTTTAGCCCACCATTTTCAAGGGTTGTTTTGTCCAAGAAAATGATCGGCTAACCATCTATATAGATTCTGATGGAGCAGAAGAGACATTTCAGGACGTTGAAATGAATTACCAACTAAAATTCATAAAGTTATTGCCCTTAGTACTTACCCGGCCAAAAAAATAAAAATAAATAAAATTTTTAAAAAATAAATACAACAATCAGTTTATGACATTCTACTGGATTGTAAATATTAAGGAAAATTCGTCACTAACAAATTTTCAATGTTTGAATATGTGGTACTGTTGTACTGTTCTTACCCTAAATAACAGGAACGTGGGAATATTCCTATTGCGACCGCTAATCTTTGTTTCATCCGTAGCTCTCCGGGCTTAAGGATTAACGATGAATGGGTTGAACAGGTCAGCAAATTATCCCTTACCGGTGTAGTTTATCACTCTCCAATGGAATTATTAGGAAAATCCATAGAATGAGTGGATAAAAGCAACACTTCAATGTTTAGTATGCTTTTCGATCGGGAAAACTAAATCGTTTATTCATACAAAAAATGTTAACACCTAAAACCAGATAAGAATCGAAAATAATATTGTCTTTTCTACCTTTTTTTATTTAATTTAATTTTTTTGCGAGGTTTCGCAACAGCAGAGTTTATATCAACCTTCGGGGTGCCGGTGTTTTTACAAAAGAGCCCATTTTATGTCGGATTCGAATGTAGGGCCGCTGGATTCGAACCCGGGACCTTTACCTTACAGAGATGAGCGGCGTGTCAACGCCTAAACTGTTGCGGCCACCGACGCCCCACTTTTCTATCTTTATAAATGCGTTTCTCTAATTCAATTGACTAGGCCAGGGCTAAAAGCCACTTTATCGGTCATCGAGAGTGAAGAATTAAATTATAAAGTTAGCTTCATTTTCTTTACAAATTTACCCCTCAAGTGAACCAACAGTATTTTATTGAAAGATTTATTACGTGTAAAAACCAATGTTGAAATGCGTCATGTAAAACAACAGGATCATGTTGGAATCATAAATTAAATCGATTCTTACCTC